AAAAAAAAAAAAAGAAATCCCCAGTGGGTCAGGCCCACCGGCTCCCCACCCCCCACCGCCACCTCCCCTGAGAATCCTGCCTCCCGGATACTTCCGCTGCTTGTCTACAACAGAGTGACCAAGACTGCCAAGGAGTCCCTAGGAAGCTGCAGCAAGACCGCTGTGTTCTCTCTGTGGTGACGGCCCTCATGCTGTAGGGTGTACCTCTTTTTCTACTTTTATTTGGCCCAAACTTACTCTACAGAGCCTGGTTCTTTTCCTACCTTTAATAAAACTTTCTTACCACTTTAAAAAAAAAAAAAAAATGCACCAGACTGGAAAGAAGTTAAGGAACCAGGCATGGTGGTGTATGCCTGGACCCCGCTGCTCTGGGAGACTGGGGCAGGAGGACTGTTCCCAGTTCCAGCCCAGATGGGGCAACTCAGAGAGGTGTTGTCTCAGTAATTAAAAAAAAAACAAAAGAAAGAAAAAAAGTTTTAAGCGTTTTTTGCAGAGCATTTATTAAAGGCAGGTAGCAATCTGGTCACTGAGAGCTTCAAAATGACTCTCAGAGTTCTCAAGTAACCAGGGCTCCTCTCCTGGTCCCTGTGCCCACGACCTCCGCTGCCCACAGGTAAAGCCCACCTCCGAGCCCACGCCTTTCCCGCATGCTACCCATCACTCCGCCTGTGTCTCCACAACGTGGGCAAACATTGCCCCATGGGCATTCAGGTTGAGTGCCCTCCCGAGGTGGCAGATTTTCCAGGGACTCCAGCTCCCACCACATCCCTGGCCCTAACATCCACAGGCACCTCGTCCTGGGCTCCACCCTTCCTCTGCACCTCTACACCTGTCTTCCTCCAGCAGCTCCCTAGCTACACTGGGACACACAAGTGTCCTCCAGGCCATGGCAATGCGCCCTGTAGGGATGAGCTCTCAAGAACCTAAAGCAAAGCTACTCCCTGCTTACAGCTGTCTGTGGCTCCCCACCATCCAGACGTGGCCTGCTCCCTGCGCCTGTGCAGGCCCCGAATGGACCCTGCACTTGGAGCAGTGGGGGTTCCAGGTCCTGCGGGTTTAGCCCCCTCTCAGCCCCCAGGGGCCTGACCTACATCTACCTCCCTTTCCCCCCCTCCTCCATCAGCAGATCCTATCTCAAGCCTTTTGCAGCCACCATACTTGTCACATCTTCTTGGTCATCTGTTTTTAAGCCCCTCCCTGCAGCCCCTGGAGAAGCCTTCACTGCAGGAAGCAATTCCCATGCCAAGCGCGAGGTCAGCAAACACCTGTAGCTTGGGCACCTGTGCTGGGCCTTCCTGTTCAGTCACCAGGGCCCATGACACCTGAGCATCCCCCAAAGGAGGAAAGGAACTGTGCTTCTGCCATGCTTTGAATGTTTGGTAATGAGCATGTACTGCTTCTGTAACTGAAAGAAATTTCCATCCTTAAAAGGGAAGGTTTTGATGCCTGGGGAATGCAGCATCGAGAGATGTCAGATCTACAGGGGCTGGGTCTTGCAGGGGCTGAAAAGCAGTAGCAACCAACCTCTGCCACCTGCCCGCCACAACCCAGACAGAGCTGCCACCTCCTTACCTCCTCCCCACCCATGACCAAAGCCCATCTCAGCCAGATGCCTTCACCTTCCCCAACCCAGGATCCCCCCAGGGCTCCACCAACTCGTGTCACCCTGTTTTGTGGGCCTGTTGGGAGGTTTTAACTCACCTGAAAGCACGCTGGCCAAGTGCTCTGCTAACATGGGCCAAGGGGCCCCAGAGTGCAGGAGGGGCAGCCATGGGATCCCATACGGTGCGTCCTGCTGGGAGAAGGGAGAAAGACAGCTAAGCCACAGTCCTTCCATGTAGCCAGGGTTCTTTGAGGATGTGTGTGGGAGATGGCGCTTCTAGCACAAGATCATTATCACTAAATATAAATCCCAGTGGTTACAGGAGAGAGGACAAGCCCCAGCTCCTGTCCCAACAGCTGAGTCATGGTCTGACCTGGGTCAGGGCAGACTGGACCTCAAAGTGATGATAGCCACCCCTGCACCCACCCACTGGTACCCCCAGCTGTACAACTCCCCAATAACCCCAAGAGACTGCAGGCTCTCCACAGACACCATGGGCTACCTGGAGTTCGCACTTTAACCCCTAATGGAGGGCGTTACCTACCTCGTCACCTTTCCCCCAAGTGCAGAGCCAAAGTACCTGCCTGGCTCAAGGTCAGCAGAGCAGAGCCCACTGTGGCCCTTGCCAAGTCACTGGGCAAAGTCTGTATTTGGGTCAGTGTCTCAAACAGCACCAGGCCACACAAAAGCTGCCCACACCACCCAGGGGCTGGAAACAGGCTTTGGGAAAACAAGTGCTACCACCAACCCAAGATGCGTGGTTCCAGATTGGAGGACACAGATGTCACCAGGACCTGCAACACCTGAGCATCACCAGGAGCCTGGTTAGGAAAAGCTGCCACATGTGGGAATGGTGCAGAACACCTGTACTCCCAGCACTTGGGAGGCCAAGGCTAGACTGGACTACACAGTGAGACCCTGCCTGGGAAAAAAAAAAAAAAACAACAAGAAAAAGAAAAAACCCTCCCGCCCCAAAACACACCCATCCCTCCCCGTGATGTGTGTCTGCAGCAGGCCTCTGTGAGCCAAGCCTCTAACCTGAGTGTTTACACACAGCTTTGCCCTGCACAAGTTCAAGGCTCTCAGATAAAACTTTATTTAATGAAGGTGGAGGGACCCACTGTTTACCTCCTCAGGAAAAGCTAGACATTCCATACACGAGAAGTAACTCCAGGTCAGCCTCAATTCCAGGCCTGCTCCCAAGTGTTTCCCTAAGACAACCCATGAAGTATGGGCCAAATGTAATTACAATCCAAAACTTAAGTATAAAAGAAGGCCGTTAACCTAGGAAATAACTAGCACTCAACACACAGGACCAGAGATGACCAGAGGCAGCCAGCTCCACTTATAGCCAGGTGACCTGGATGGCACAACCAATGCACCTGGCTCCCCATTTCACCCAAGACACTGGCAAGACCTGCTCACAGGTGGCCAGCAAGGTTCACATGCAGAGCATCGGGCACCTGCCTGAATCTGCAGTGTCAGTGCCCCAACCCGAAGCCAGGCCTCCTCTCCATGCCCTGCTCACAGCTACTCACACAGTGCCCCTCTCTGCCCACCTGGGTCTCGTCCTGCACCAGCCCACCTCCCACAGAAGCCTATGTAGAACTGTAGCCTCACCACTGCCTTCCTGCAGGCCGGGAACAGCCATACCCAGGCCGGCGCAGCCCTCACCATCAGATGCAGACACTGAATAAACTCAGAGATTTCTTGAGATAAGGCCAATGTCCCTTGCATCTATCCCTTGCTGCTTCCTCTCCAGAACTCAAAAGCCACAGCAGAGCTCACACACGGCACCTGATCTGGCTGCAGAGCACAGGCCACATGCACCAGGTGGCATCCTGGCCTCAAACACAAGAGTGACACGGGCATGTCTGCAGGGAATGTATCCACTGTTAGAAGAAAAAGCTAATTCAATGATTTTCAGCAGTTCTTAATGGATTTGATATTGACCCTGGCCCAAATAGCAAACAGACAATACAAACCATTTCTATTGTTTATCCCTCCAAAAAACTCCAAAACCAAAAAACCTACTGTTTCCCCCTCCATCTCTACCACAACAGCTCCTGACAAACAGAAAGAGTCCAATAAATATTTGTTAATCAAATAAATGATGCAAGCTGGGTACGGTGATATGCCTGTAATCCCAGCACTCAGAGGCTGAGGCAGGAGGATCAAAAATTCGAGCCCAGCCAGGACTGCACAGCAAGTTCACGGCCAGCCTAGACTATACAGTGAGACCGTCTCAAAAACAAAAAAAATAAAAATAAATGTACAAAGAACAAATGAGGTAGCCAAGAGGAAGACAGGTCCCCACTTTGACCACGGCTGCAGGCAGGGGCAACCCAAGGTAAGGGCCCTGTTTACACGGTGGGACCCAGGACCTCACAGGCTCCAGGCTTTGAGAGATACAGGTGATCAGAGCAGCCTCGGTGTCACTTGCAGACCCCTGGAATCATCTCCCAGCCTGGTGTCCACGCTGTCTGCTGTTGAAAGCACCCCTTCCTACCATTAAGTAGATGCTCCGCATCAAGAAGAGTAAAGGAGTATAGCGAACCTCTTCAGAGCAACTTTGATGGCCCAGGGGGTCACTCCATGACATATACAGATCCACCGGGCGGATGTAGGGTGTGGTCCACTTCACACCCAGTCTACACATAATGTTTTGCTCTAAGCCTGGTGACTGGGCAGGAGATGAAACTTGATGCTGCTGCTTCCTTCTCTACTCTCTCCTGCTTCCTGACAGCATCCTCCCGATTCAGAAAGTGAATCACAAGCTCTCCCTCAAGGGTGGTGAGTGAAATGATTTGATGCCCACTTCCCACCTTGGCTAACACTACCCCCTGCCTTCGGTTGTGGGGGCCAGGGATGGCAGGATATCAGGGAGAAACAGGGTCCCTCACTTGGCTCAGCCTCCACAGGCACTGCTGGAATGATGGTTCTGTGGGGGCAGGGACTGCAGTGCCCGGCTCAGTGCCACCCCCTCTGGGCCCAGAACAGTAGGCACACACATCTAGAGCTCAGGGACCATGCCGGAAGTGATTTGCAATTCAACCTCTGAGCTTCCATGTGGTGCGGATGGGGTGTTCCCAAGGACCAGAGGAGCTGGTTTTATCTCATTTCATACACAGGGTCTGAGCTAGAAAGGCAGACAGAAAGGGCTTCTGACGCGTGTGGAAAGACAGAAAGTATCATCACTGCAGTTCTGAAGATCCCTGCAATGTACCTGTGAATGTGCAAATCCATACACAGGTATGCTATCTGTCTATGCTACATCTAACTGTATGTATACTTAGAATCACAGACCAGGGGTTGGGGATTTAGCTCAGCGGCACAGCGACTGCCTGGCAAGCACAAGGTCGTGAGTTTGATTCCTGGTATGGGAAGGAAAAAAAAAAAAAAAGACCAATCTACACACTGTTTCCACCCAAACAGTTTCAATCTTAGGGTGCCTGGTATGTTGCATGCATTTAAAGCCCTTTCCAGGGAACAGGCTCCTATGGGCTCTACAGAAAAGTGAGGAAACAGGGCAATGAGTGCGGACAGGGGCAGTTGGGGGCAGAGCACGTGTAAAGCATGTATGAGGCCTTAAAAAAAAAGTTCAGCACCACAACAAATGAGTGCTTAGAAGAGATTCTGTTAGTAAGAGAAAAGAAACACTAAGAAATCAAATGCAAAGCCCCGCCGCAAAAAGGACAAACCACTAGTGTGAGCCTCTAAAGGTCTTTCATCAAAGCAGGGAAAGCTTTGGGGGAGGACTTGCAGGACTCCACAACGACTCCATCTCTGGGCCCCCAGTGTTCTCCTGCTCACCCCGGCCCATTAAGTGCTTCTGTGTGTTGATTGAAAATTTATCATTGCTTTGCCACCCTCAATTCCCTTCCAGAAGAATTTACTGTGATTTTTTGGTTTGTCTGCTTGTTTGCTATTTAGACAGAGTCTTGCTATATCCCTCAGGGTGGCCTTGAGCTCACGGTGTAGGGCAGGCTGGCCTAGAACTCACAGTCATCCTTCTGCCCCTGCCTCTGCCTCCCAAGTGCTGGGATTAGAGGCATGCAGCCACCATGCCTGGCTACTATGTGTCTTTTTAACTTCACACAAGTATACTATATTGCAATCCTCAAAGTATCCTCAACCAGGTCTTTTTCTTTGGTGATTTCACTCAGGGGCACCTAATGGAAACAAAGAAACAAGAAACAAAAGCCTAAGAGGTTGCATCAGCTGAGGATTCCGAACAGGTCTGAGGTCTCAGTAAGGAAGCGCCATTCTGCAGATGGGGAATGAAGTCAGAGAAGCTCAACACCTGCCGACTCATCCCAGGTTAGCAGGCACCAGAGCTCAGATAGGGCCCCGCACTGTTCCTGCCCTGCCCTGTGCTGCTTTCCCCACAAGAGGTTGCTTTCCCCAAGAAACTCCACCAAGGCAAACACACCACACATGGGGCTGTCTCCTTTGCTGTGGCTGCCATCAATAAGCAGTTGTCTCTTTAGTAAATAATGATGCTACCCACCCAGTGCAACCCAGGACCAAAGCTGAAGCTGACTCAATGATCAAGGTGCAAGTTTTCACAGTATCACTACCAGTAAGCAAAAGCAAGCTAGGCACTGTGGCACACACCTGCAACCCCAGCACCCCGGAAGGCTGAGGCAGGAGAGTAGTGAGTTAGTTTGAGCCCAGCGTGAGGTACATATCAAGTTCAGAGCTGGCCTGGGCTATACAGCAAAATCCTGTCTCAAAAAATAAACAGATAACCAGCTGTTGTGATGCATGCCGGTAATCCCAGCACTCTGGGAGGCTGAGGCAAGAGGATCACAAGTTCTAACCCAGCCCAGGCAACTGACTAACTTAGTGAGACTGTATCTCAAAAATAAATAACTAATAAATGGGGCTATGGATATAGCTCAGTGCAAAGGTCTTGGGTTCGATATCTAGGACCACAAAATAAATAACATTTAATTAAAAACAAAGAAGTAAGGCATCCCTCAACAGCATGACAGGCTGTTTCTACCACAACCACCGCTAAGAAAAACCCCATTCCACAAAAAATTTTGTCTTATATTTGAGTATTTGTTGCACAAGTATTTAAAGCAGTGGCTGTTAGCTAGAGCTGACATTTCTCAATCATTCGAGCTGATCTTTTAAGGTATAGATTTTATATATTCTAGTTTTATCTCACAGCAGGGGAGAGGGGCATCAATAGTCCAGGAGCAAGTCTGGAATGTTCAAGTTCAGGAAAAGATGCAGAAGGCAGAGTTGGGTCTATTTAATCCCACACGTCTCCTGCCTCTCCTGCCAGTCACTACCTACACTGGGCCAGGGACAAGGGGCCAGGGGTGCAGGAGAACGGCAGGGAATGGGAAAATGGCGGGGGACATGACCCCAGCCCATCCTCCCCGCCTCTCCCTCAAAGTCTGTGACCTTGATATCATTCCTCCAGGTCTCTGTGACTCCACCAAGCAAGGGTCCCTGGGAAGAACAAAACTACATGGAAATAAAAGTGCTTTATCTCCACCCAAGCAAGAGGCAGTGTGACTGGGGAAACCCTCTGAATCAGTGATGGCAAGCCTTTTAGAGACTAAGTGCCAAACTGCAACCCAAAACCCACTTATTTATCACAAAGTGCCAATACTACAATTAAAACTGTATACTAAGGATTTAGTTGGGCAAAAACAACTCATACATTAACATCTTTTGTCTTAAAATAAAAACACAGTAACACACATGCCATAGGTTTGCCACCACTGTAAGCTGGAATCATCCCATAGGGGCTGTGTGTGCAGGACAAGTGCTCTGCCTCCCTGATCCTGGGCAGCTCATGGGCAGCTCATGGGCATCTCTATGACCATATCTCACTCTAGAGTGGACCTGGAAAAGTGCTACCTCTCCCCCGCTAAAGACGAGAACGAAGTTCCAAAGTCTTTGCTGGGGGACTTTCCAAATCTTTCCTGCAGATCCCCAGTGAATGACAAGCTACTTGCATCCAGCACATTACCTGACCCAGGATAACCCACTGAAACCTGAGCTATTACTGGCTGTCACCACTAACACACCTGTCAGATCACACTAGGACAAGCCACAATGTGCAAGCCATTGCCTGTCAAATGGAAGGCTAAACCTTACTCTGATTTGTTTTTCCTGGTACTGCAAATTGAACGCAGAGCTTCTTACTGAACTACATGCCCAGCACTACCTTTTAATTTTTTTTTTTTTTTTGGGTCTTTTTGAGACAGGGTCTCACTATGCAGCTCAGGCTGACCTTGAGCTCACTTTGAAGCCCAGGCTGGCCTCAAACTCACGATGATCCTCCTGCCTCCGCCTCCCGAGTGCTAGAATTACAGGCGTGCGCCACCACGCCCAGCTCTTTTAAAATTCTGAGGGGTCTTGCTATGTTGCCAAGTTGCTAAGGCTGTGTGCAAACTTGCGATTCTCATGCTTCAGCCTTCCAGAGTGCTGAGATTACAGATATATACCATGGCACTGAACTCGGAATCTGATTTTTTAGACCTTCCCAAGCCCCCACAGAGCTTGTGGGGTACTGAGTAAGACCTACCCAAGTGACAGAAACAGGAAAATGCACTGTAGACGGTTCTAGCTGTCCCAATCACAAAGAGGGAATGGAGCAAAATAGGCTTTAATGATGCCACATCATCTAGGATTCTAGGAGCCTAAGAGTGTCTAAATTACCATGGTCAAGGCCTCGCAGACTCCTACCTGAGTAACAGATTCCAGGGGAGGAATCTATCCTCGACAAACAGGGGTAACAATAGCATATTTTGGATCAGGCATGATAGCCTATGGCTGTAATCCCAGCCTTTGGTAGGCTGAAGCAGGAGGATCATGAGATTGATGAAATTGAGCCATAGTGCATCCCAGGACAGAGTAAGACTTTGTCTCAAAAATAAATATTGTGGCAACTGCTCCTTCCTTTTTTTTTTTTTTTTTTTTTTGGTATGGGGAATCGAACTCAGGACCTTGTGCTTGCTAGGCAGGCGCTTGTGCCACTGAGCTCCCCAGCCTGCTTCGTGGATTCTGCCATGCCCCTAATTCAACTCTTTTCAGGCTTGCTGAAGGGTTTCCCTTGCTGTCTGCAGAGTGCCATACATTCCTCGAGGACGCTGTTCAGAGGTGCTGATCCTACTAAGCACAGAGAGAAATAGCTCAGGAATCCCTACGTTCAGATCCGTAACTGCATTATTTTTAAAAAATATTTAAGAAATGCCTTCCAGTGATATTCAGAGCTCCCCAAACCAGTATCTATGCCCTCTATTTCCATTTTCCAGTTATCCACTCTCAGGGTTCAAAGTGAATTTTATTGCTCTATGCAAGCAACAGATCACACTAGTTTTACAACCATTAAACCATACACTATGTAAAAAGTCACACACACGACATATATGTATACATATATATGAAGCTGTAAGGGTAAAATGGACAATTCCTTTTTAAAAAATTACAGCAGAGCTGGGTGTGGTGGCACATGCCTGTAATCCCAGCACTTGGCAGGCTGAGGCAGGGGGATCATTGCCAAGCTTGAAGGCCAGCCTGGGCTACAAAGCAAGTTCAAGGCCAGCCTGAACTGCATAGTGAGGGTCTGTCTACCTCTTACCTCCAACAACTTTTTTTTTTTTTTAATCCAGGGTATGGAGGCACATGCTTGTAATCCTAACACTCTAGGAGGTTGAAGCAGGAGGGTCACAAATTCAAATCCTGCCTGGGCAATTTAGTGCAAGTCCCTGTCTCAAAATAAAAAATAAAGGGGGCTGGGATATAGTTCAGTGTGAATGCCCTGGGTTAATCCCCAGTACTGGAAAAAATGAACATCATTCTTCTTAGGCAGTAATCTTCCTGAAGACAGAGACCTACCCTGTTCCTTCCGGTACATCCCTGGGTTCTAACCACATCCTTCTGGATGGACAATGTGAACTGACTGCAAACTGCCTGAGGAGCAAGAGGGCCCACAAGCGGATTCAGGTGATCGATGCTTTCCAAACTTTTCTGTGACGCACAGAAAAACTGCACCAACAAACACTCCCTAACACACTCACACAGGAGTGACCACGAATTCTACACCTCCTAACACACTCATACCTGAGGCAAGTGTCAAGAAATAATGCTCTTGCTAAGCACAACACTCTCTGAGAGTTTCTATTTCTTTTTAAACGGTGGCCGGATCTGCTAAACTGACTTCCAATTCACCCACGGTACTCACAGTTTGAAAAACACTGCAATAAATCAAACCTTACTGTTGTATTTCACAGGTTCCTCATGAGCTCTGAAAAGCCAGCCGATCGCAGAACCGGTGACCGACAGAGAACCAGACAGCCCTGCTGGGCAGCCTCCCACCCATCTCTCGAGAAACCCAAGGTGGTTCCATGCTCCTGCACCTCTTCAAACATTCAGTCCTTTCAACGTCTCAGGGTGGCAAAGTTGCCCTGCTGCCCACTGTGGAAAGCCATCCTCTCTATGGGTCCCCTTCAGGAATCCAAAATTAAACAAACTGGCGCGCTCCTCGTGCCTCGGTGATAAGATTCAAGCCTACCTGTCCCATCTCCACCTTTCTAGACTTAATCATTGCTGAGCGCAGCCTCTGATGAAATCAGAAACCAGGGCCGCCCTGGAGTCACATCAGAGTCACAGCACAATCAGCTGCAAAGCGGGGGAGGTGCAGGTCACCGGGCACGCAGTGACTGCCAGGCCGCCCCGCTCCCCACAACACACGCAAGTAAGCGCACGCGGGACGCACAAGCCGGGGAGCCCGCACCCTAAGGCCCGGGGGAGGAGCCCAGGACAAGGCCTCGCTCTCCGTCGGGCTCCCTTTGAACCCTCAGCTCCCAAGGTCTCACTGCCGCTCACCGGGGTGCAGTGGGGAAAGAAGAGAAGAACAGTGGGCGCCACAGGCTCCCCGCGCCCCGCACCCCAGGACCCACACTCCACCCCGTACCACTCCGCTGTTGCCGCGCATCCGCCAGGGGCCGCCTCAGCGCGGGGCCTCCGCGCATGCGCCATGGCCGTGCGTCGCTTGCGTGCGCTGCGTGGGGGGCGGGGCCCGGCA